AGCCAAGTACCACCTTTGTTTCCCAGAGCTGGCTGGTGATGGGAACGCTGTGCAGGGAGGTGGCTGTGCTTCACCTGTCCCAGAGCTGTGCCAAGTGACACAGAGGTTTGTTAGAACACCTCAGGAATGCTGCCAGTGTCAGGTGACAGCTTGCACAAGGCAGGCAAGGAAAGATGAGGGCTCCCCAATTCCCCATCCTCTTTGTGTGGGAAGAGAGGCAAGGCCTCTTGTTGCAAGGCCCTGGGAGAGCACAGATCCCTTCAGCACACAAACAGAGCATGTGGTCAGGACCCATTTCTCCCCCACCTCTTTTTGTCCATTTCCTTTCAAATATCCACCCTTTCATCCATCAGCACCACTACATATCATCTCTGCATGCATAAGGCTCAGCTGGTGCTTTGAGAGACCTCCCCACAATCTTTCAGAAAATGTGACCGTTTCTGGGAAACAGTCACAGAGAAGCAGAGAGCAGCAAACAGGAGTCTGCTGTCAGGTCTTCTGCCTCGTGTGTACACGCTCAGCCCCAGGCAAACACCTCGCAGTTTGTCTCAAAGGTGTGGAGGCAAAGGATTGAGATGTGCTCATCCACAGACCTGGAATATGATGTTTGTTCCCCTACCCATCTCCCTTCAATATATACATCTTAAGCACAAGAGCCAGCATTTTCCTGTTAATTTTTTTCCTTTGCGAACAAAGTGCCTTCATAAAATCTTCGCTAAATCTGCACAAAACACTCAAGTGCTCTTTGTAAGGATATTGAAAATGTTTAAAAAATGTGTCTTGGTCTTGGTAATAACAGTACTATGTAACTGTTCAAGTCTACCTGTGTCCAGAAAAGTGTTTTTATAATTGCATATACCTTCTCAATAGGAACTAGAATAAACTCTTTCTTCCTACAGCTGTGTCAATTCCCAGCACAATTAGTAAGTTTGAAGTATATTCTATACTGGCTCTGGTCAGAACCCAGGCCAGTATACATGCCTGTCATTTGTGTGGTATGTTCAGCTCAGACAAACAGCTCTTTTATGTTCACCAAGGAGACAAGATACTGTATTTCCCACAGCCTCCAGCACTTTGGAGTAAGAATTTCTGTAAGTCTTGAAAGGAGCAAGAAATGCTTCTGTATTTGGCTGAAGTATCATCAGAAAAAAGTCTGTATTTCTAGGATGCTTGTCAGTGAAGGCAAAACAGAATGATCACAGCTTGAATTCCAAAACTGAGGCTAACACTTCAGAGCTGGTGAAAATGTTATACATCTAGATCATGGAGATATGCGTACACATCTTGCTTTGACTAGTCCTCTGATATAATTTCATTGTCAAATGAAAAACTGCCAGATACCACTTTAATTGGTGTCTCTTCTGGACCTCTACAATTTGCAGGAGAGCTTCCTAAATTACATCATTGAATCTGGGAAAATACTTGTCTGTCAGAATTTTTTGTGATGAGGCTTCATACCACTGAGCTCTGCAAGCCCCCAGTGCTTTCTCAAACAAGCAAACAAAACCCATCCAGCACTCAGAATCTACAAGAGTTGGGTCTTTGATTTGCATTGGGTTCAGAGAGAAAAATGAGCCTTGATGCTGAAGTAGACACAGTTTTCCTAAACTTGAATGAATTCTCTCACTCTTGACGCTTTACAGGACTATGCTTATTTTAAAATGCATTTGTAAAACAGATCTCTCATCAGCTAAACTCTTTACCAGCAGAGTGAATTTCATTTCTTCATAATTGTCGTGTTTTAATTAATCTCTGCTTAGCAACATTAATATGATTTATATGCAGCTCTCTGTACAGTATTTGACGTACGCTGTAAACTGCCCACCTCTGTTACAGCCTCCTGTCACGCTTGGCTCTGGGGAGGTTGGATAGCTAAGAATTCTGTATACTGAATATTAGTCTAACTGGTTGCTGTGCTAAAATGGCATCTCCATTTAAGCAGCAAGTGAACTGACAGAGGGTCCATCCTAAGGGATTACTCCACAATTCAGTGTGCAGGAGTGAAAACTGTTAGTTCTGGCAGCTGCTATGACATTAACTTCTTGCTCAATAAAAGAGAACTTACCAGCTGTCAGAGCTAACAGTGATGTACATTTTGCTCAATGCAAGAAGACACAAATTCTTCAGAACTAGAAAGACAGGGACAGAAAGAAAACTTTATCATATTGTGTGCCTTGTGGTTGCTGAGGACATTCTGCACTTGCACATCATCCTGTGTGCTTAATTTGTTCCAGTTATACAAAACCATCAAATAATATCCAAGTCTAAGAAAATAACACCAAAGCCACTGCTTAAAGAGTATTAAGGATAGCTGGTTTAAAAATGTGTCATTTTCTGAGTAAGCTTCAAGACCCTGGGAAACATGAATATTCTCATGTGGAAAACAGATCAAGCTGCATAAATAAGGGGGTTTACTACAGAATAAACCAGCCACTGAGCCATTGAGAAGCCTGAGACATGGAGTGGCTGTGCAGTGGTGATGGCCTCTGTTGTGCATCTTTTTGTCCACCTAGCCTAGAAAGGAAGGTATTTATTTAAAAAGGTGGGGATGAATAGAAGAATAAAAACAAAAAAAGCAAAAGAGCACAAAATCAAGCTACTGAAAACAAAATTATTCAAGATCCTATATAACAGAAGATATTATGTGTTATTCTATACATCAGTGCTATAACCAATCATAAATAAATGCCTTTAGGCTTGTGCTTTTATTGACATAAAATCACAAAATCTTCATAAGAGTAGTCACTTTATATTAGTGTTAAAATAACTCATTATAACCTTCATAGATTTTTTTTTTCTTAAAAGAAGAGGAACTATAACATTAGGGGGGTTTAGAAAAAGGCATTTTCTAGTTCTTAAGAAGCAAGTAATGATGAAACCTTATCAAGCAGTGTGTGGACAGAGCAGCAGAGCAAGGACAAGCTGCCACATAATGCACATAGTGCCCGAGTGCTCCTGTTGAACAACAGCCAATTCATAAAACCCACCAGGAGCGCTCTGAGGAAAGCTGTGTTATCATGGGGGACTTGTGTTTGAGTGATGGGCTGGAATTCTCAGAATTAAATTTTATAGGTACTGTAATATCTTTCTGACAGTCAATGAAGCCTCATGGGGCAGGTGCTCTGTCTTGCCTGGAATCTTGATTATGGAACTAGGATGACATGCTGTCAACACACACACTAACCTGATAGAAACCTGCATAATTCGTGAGCCCCAGCACATGCTGCACACAGGGAATCTTTAGTGGGCACATGGGAAATCCTGAGATATACCCACGTACTGGAGCAGACTGGAATCATCCTCCAGTTCATGTGTTTTGATGGCTTCTCTAACAGAACAACTTCTATCCTGGATGTGACCTCTGAGTCTAAATTTTCTGAGTGTAACTTTCTCACAGTTTTATATTCCCTGCACATTTTTTTAAAGCTTTAGATAGTAACACTCCCTCCCTTGTGAGCTCTGTGGCTGGATCCTCAGAGCAAGGACGATACACCTCACAGCAGCCTGCTGCACTTGTCTTCTGGCCCACAGGGAAACCTGCAAATCCCACCCAGAACATGAGGACCTGGCCATTGAGGTCTCTAAACTGGCCAGCCTCGAACATCACAAGCCAGCTCTGCTCCGTGGCAGTGCTTGGGAAGGGCAGATCCCCCTGCTACACTTTGCCCACGGTCAGTGCCCGCTGGAGAGGGGCAGGTGGGGAACAGGGCGAGTCCCAGGCAGGCGGACAGGGCAGGTGAAGTGGGTGAAACACTGCCTGTGCCAGTCCTCCTTCAGAAACAAACTAGGAGTCCTTCAGGCAGGGGCCTGCTGCAGGGGATGGGCTGGGACACTGTGCTGGGCTGTACAGGGCTGGGACACTGTGCTGGGCTGTACAGAACTGGGACACTGTGCTGGG